TTATAGGGGACCTTCCAATCATTGCCCTGATCCTGAATAGGCCGGCCCCTAAACTCAATATAGGGGGCCGGTAGGCAAAAGGAGGTCCAACATTACTTTACTACGCAGGGCAACATGTGTCCTTTGGGGCAGGGGCTTATTGTGTGGACGATGTTGGTATAGACGTACTTGTAATCGTAGTCATTGTCACCAATCGCTGTTTCTGAACTTCATGTCTTCTCCGCTGTCTTCTATGTTGGTAAGAAATCACTATTTGCCGCCAGAACTTTCCATGAAGATAGCCAATACAACCGCTATTGGTATCACTTCATGCAGACGACGCGCAACTTCTTGAATCTGAGTTGCAGCCATCCCTTGACTGAACTCAGGCACGATTCAAGCAGGTGGACGGCGTCCAGACATCCGTGACTATCCTGGACGACCTTATGCCACTCCTCCCGATTCTGGCAGAAAGGAGAACTGTTGGAGTTCTGAACTTTGTGAATCCCGGTACCGTTTTCTATCCCGACATTGCGGCTGCCTCAGCTGCAAGTCGCAGGGGCAAGCTAGAATGTAACCCGGCCAGCTATAACGACCTCACCCCAAGTAGTCGTTTACAGCGAAGATGCTCCAAGACTGGCCGTACCTTAGGCTCTGGAGGTATTATGAAACTCTATAAGCTGGTCAGTGTAGAATCCCAAGAATTTGTTTGGAAAAAGGTATCGGCCTCCTATTTCTCGAAAAGAGTGTCTCCCTGTCTGCTGAACAGCGGCTATCGCATGACGTTATAGGAAGTGTCATGGCAATGTTACGGTTGTTCAGAATGAGCGCCTACAAAGACTTGCACAGCTATGGGCTTGGGGTAACTCAAATCCCCATAGGGCTGAAAAGCCCATACACAACCAAAGCCACCATGTGATGGTCCGTGTTCTTTTCCATTTGGTGCTCTATTCTTGGGCCCACATACCCCGCAATGTCAGTATGTACCCCTATATACACCCCCGCAGATTCCATGTTTCATTTCATATTCCATTTCTCTTCCATTTGTTTGTTAAAATGTATCCGTCTAACCCTTTCAAGGGTTCCCGTGTTAGTTGCTGTATAAGGGAACCTAGTCATAAATGATTTCGGGTGAGTTCTAGGGAGGGAAGTCCAACTCGGCATACATCTCTTGCGAAAGCACTGAGCTCTTCAGCGGTGCACTGTCAAAAAGCGCTACATGCAAGCGCAGGACTTTCTGGTGCTATGAGCAGGGTATCTCAGGAGAATATAAATCCTAGCTTCCAGATAATTTTGCATGTTCCGCTTGATTCTCCTATATGAACGTTATATATGGTATAACCCCTATCCTATATGGTCCCATTGAGGTAACATACGCCCTGAATTCGGCGACAGGTCTCAGCGCTGAAGGATCGCGTGGCGAAGTGTCATTTGGAATGGGCCGCGCCAGAAATCCGAGGACCGCTGCACAACTGTTTAAGATTTAGGGCTTAGAGTTTAGGTCTTGGGGTTTAGGTTTACGGCTAGGGTTTAGGGGTTGGTGCTTAGGGCTTATGGCTTAGGGGCAGCATGTGGCAGTTCCCCTACATAGGGGCACCCCAATAGAGATCCCAACATACTACAATCGTTATTACAGGACCCCCCTAAAAGCATCCCTAATTTTGGGAAACCCTGATCCCTATTTATCCTTATATATCCCTATATACCCCCTATACAACACTTATATACCCCCTATCTAATTTATTTCAACCATGAGCCAGAAGAGGCATCAAAATCGAGACCTCTACTTGCTGGGGGTTAGTAGGGAACAAGGAAATATGTTAGATGGAGAAAGGAATCCTTGTGGTACACCCCACAAGTCCTACGCACTAAACCCTCAGCTTCTAAATCCTGAGCTAGCCTGGCTTTCAAGATGAGGATCAGCCAGCAAGCCCATCACCTCGCCTTAAGACGCATCGGCAGGCCTAAAACACCCGAGCCGGTATGTTACTTCTCACGTGCGTACTATTGGACTCGCTTTTGCCTTGAGATCCCCCATAATGTGTTTTCGGGCCGGCTTATTCAGGATCAGGGGTAATGATGTGAGATCCGCTTTAATGTGTTTTGATGTTGGGGCCCTAGAAACACAAGAAAGATTCTCAACCCTCTCTTTTAAATCAACCCACAGGGACGTCAGAACCGCGGGAGTCTGAGGGCCCTTATTAGGGACTGCAGTTTAGCCTTAGATGCCCCAGACCTTAAACTCTAAGCCCTCATACCACAGAATAATACAGTCAAAGCAGCGGAGGAGCTGGAGCAAAGGCTGCAGCAGAGCTGGACACGGCGCGGCTACAGGACTTCATCCGACTCGCAAGTTGTCCCCCTGAAAAGGCCATGGAGGTTATACTGAAGCCTTTTATAGGGCGCATTGGAGAGTCTTAGCGTGTGCTGGTTGATCCTAAGGTATGCTGGATGGAGGACATGCACCACTTAGTACAGTGAATTACTGGAATTCCCGCTATTGGCGCTATGTAGTATGGTACAAAATTTCCTCCGTCTGTTATATGGTGCGTGCTCCCGAAGAAAATGGAAAGCAGCCTTTGAAAGGGCAGTTGGGCTTCCACACTACTTGGTTTCGGCTCCTTTAGAGGTTGCTCGAAATTCAGCTTGTAATATAGTGTGGGAGCCCACAAATCGCGCGGGGCTTGCGGACTATCCATGCGCCATTAAGAAGCATGCAGGGGTCATATTCGCCGGAGTACACTTCGTGTCCTTTCAGAACATGGTTTCGCTTGCTCAGCTCACACCCTGAACCTGAACCCGGAATCCCTCAACCCTAAACCCTGAGCCCCTAAACCCTAAGCGCCAAAACCTCTAAACCCTGAATCCGAGCTTCCACAAGTCGGTGGTCTTTTGCCAGACGTCCCTATAGCAGAGCCCGTGGTTGCTGAGGTCTGCATGCAAGCCCTGCGTTTTGAACCCTCCCACATGTTGGTCCTCCAAATCTTGCTGGTGGTTAGTAGGGAATAAGGGAATATACTATCTAGGGGGGTTAGGGTTTAAAGTTTAGGGTTTAGGGCAATTAATCCCTTATTCCCTACTCAGCATGACTAAGTTACGACTGTTAACACTTTTTACAGGCAACCTCACGTATTCTTCCTAGGGAATATAGGAATAGATTAGATGAGGGTTATATATACATACATAAATATATAGGTATATATAGGGATCATATTCCTCTATCCCATACCAAGGACCAAGAACCAGTAAGCAACGGGGACGTACGGTTCCAAAAGCGGCGACAGTTACGGGGATGGCGGAGGGCGATCCCATGGGGGCCCACGAAGGCCTTAACAACGGGCCCCCCAGAAAGTGCAATAAGACTAGCAGCAACAAGAACAATAAGAGAAGAATAACAACAGTAGCAGCAGCAGCAGCAGCAGCAGCAGTAGTAGTAGTAGTAGCAGTAGCAGCAGTGGTAGTAGTAGAAATACAAGTATAGTATTGGTAGTGTAGTAGGGCCTCTTGAGAGACGCCCATGCTGCCAGTATAGCAGGAAGCCGTCGGAGTGCCTTTGACGGACGTCCGGGACTTACCGAGTCAACTTCTCCACTTACATACGAGTAGTATTTGATTTGGGGATACTATGGTACCCAATATAGAGTAAGATTATACCCCTCCTTTCGGGGTATAGAATATGAGCTATAGTCTGAACTCCTTAAAAGGGGTTATATAGGGGATTATGTACGGGGGGTATTATAAGGCTTATTAAGGGAGAGACTAGGAGTTTAGACTGTAGCTCATATGAGCTATGGAAGCTATGGTCTCAACTTCTTAACGGGAGGTTGTATGGGGGATTATATAGGGGAGTATTCTAGGGGTTATGAAGGAAGGAGGATACTAGGAGTTTAGACTATAGCTCAGAAGGAAAGGCTAAGCTGCGCAATGGGGGGGTTAGGGTGAAGGATTAGGGACTAGGGTTGAGCGTTGAGCAGCATTCAGATTCCTGCGGGGCGTGTAGCTTTAGGAAGGAATTTGAGGATGGCCTACAAGGTTGCTGCTGCTCAGATTCCCTACAGAATCCCCATATGGGGGTTTCCCAAAATTATGGGTACCTTTTTGGGGATCGGATCCCCATAATAAGGACTATAGTATTTTGGGGTCTATATTGGGGTTCCCCTATTTAGGGAAACTACCATATATCCCTTGGGGCCTACCTCTATATGCTTCGAGACAACCTGATATCTCTGTCCAAAGAAAATGCCACCCTTGCATTGAGGCTGCTGAGTCGGCCCGACAAATCATCTCCACACTGACTGATGAGGAAGTGCGCTCATTTGTGCAGAGCCTCTCGTGAACTTGGTAGCACGGTAATTGCCCAGAATTCGAGAAACTCGCAATCGCTTAGAAGCAAAAGTGGTCACGGCTGCGTTCCTCCAGCTAATCATCTTGAGAGACAGAGAGAGAGTCATATGCAAAGGGAGTGTGTGACTGAAGCTTGTGCTGATGGCCTTTCCTGATGCTTGAAGAGCGCGAGCTATTTATTGTTGACTATGGGTGGACTAAAGGACCGCTGCTGCACGGCTCAAGCCGTAGCCATGGCAAAGGTGTTGCAGGAGCCGCCGGAAGCGCCACCGGCGCCGCCCCTTGAAACCTGCACCAGTGTTGAGAACACCGTGCTGGACGTGGAGTCCCCTGGCAGGCCGAACCTGACTTTGCGCAGCAATGAGGTACGGAAGCCAACAAGCCCGGTGGCCTTGTTTGGCATGCAGGGTCGGGACCTTAGCTGCTGATGTTTTGGGTTGTAAGTCCAGGTTGAAAGGATACATGTTCGGTCATTCAGCATGTGGCCCCATGGCCTAGGCAAGTCCAAGAACCGATTGCTGCTGCGGAATTCAACGCGGGAAGTGTTGGGCTACAGCACCCTCACTCTCGCAGAATCCGCTTACGAGAATGCCTTTCTCATGAGAGTGATCACCAAGGGCCTTGTTGGGAAGGCCCACTTCCTGCTCCTCATAAACTTCTTTCTGCAGTACTCTGTTGTGTATCTGCTCTCTGAGCGAACGACAGGAAATCAAAGCATGTTCGAGACCATGTTGTTTGGGCAAGCTGATGCTGTAGATGCTCCGGGTGTATGCTGGCAGCGCCAGGGCGAAACCAGAATCTCTTGCACGCCAGACGAAGTAGCGCTAAGTGTAGACTTTGCCAGCTTGGACCTCAATGGAGATGGTTTGTGGACTTTCGCGGAAGCAGAAGACCTCAGCAGATTACATGCTCAGCAGACGCAACGTCGTGTCAACATGACTCAGTTCTACAAGAATGTATTCCATACTATGCGGCACTATGCTGGGCCCAGGATTGCGGATTGCTCGCTGAATGACGCTATTCAGGCATTTGACGGTGACAAGGGCTTCTGGGCGGATGCAACCATTGGCAATATCACAAGCAATGGGAATGTAGTGGTGAATTACGTGGATCCTGCCAAGCAGACCACCTGGGCAAGATACTTGCCCACAAGCAGGCTGCGCAAGCAGATCGATGGCTCGATTTATGCATGCAGCGTGCCCAAATGCGTGGACATGGACAATGGAGCAACCGATTCTAGCGAGCTGACCTGCGCGGGCTACAATGGCTTCGACGCTTGTGCCGGCACTTGGGACGATGATGACTTCCATGTGAAGCAGCTCTGCTGCACTTGTGGTGGTGGCTCCTACAGCCTGACTCTCACCGGTTTCGGTCACCTTCCTGTGGACCTGCCGTTAGAGGACATCACCAGTCTAAGACAGTTTAGAATTTGCATGCAGAGTGCCGTGCAAGAGGCGCAGCAAGAAGCCTGCATCATCAACTACACCTCCATACCTCGTTCGGTCTACGAGGAGCAGATTGCAAAGTTTGCCCATTTCTGCCTTCTTCCTGAGAGCGATCTCTGTGGAAATCTGCAGGATGAGCAGCTGCTCCCATCCTTGACGCTGAACATATCTACATCTGTGCCAATGTTCATGAAGATCACTGGGCTTGACAGTACAGCTTCGATGAGCCAGCTGAATCTCTGCGAGAACACTATCAAAGCCTTCTGCTCTAGAATATATACCGTGCAGGCAACACTGTTTCAGGAGCAGCGGGCAGACATATGTGGCAAGAAGTCCAGCAAAATTGCTGGCGACAAGAAGACCATCACATATGCGGCCAGCGAGACCTACTCAGATCCGACATTTGGTTTGACCTCGCTTCTTTTCCAGGGCTTCTTGTTTTTGATTGTATTTCTTTGGGGTCTGGCCTCTGTGACGGAATTCCGAAATATTTTGGCAACCCAGCTGACTTGGAATGACTTTCAAGCCATGGCTGGGATGTTTTCTGCGTCTTTGTCCTCTTGCAATATTGATATTTTCCCCCAACGGGCTGCTGGGTTCCCATTGAACCTCAGGGGGCGTGGCGGCGAGTGTACACTCACAGGAAGATATATTTTGAGGGTAATCCAGGCTTCCATTGCTGTTGTTTGGGCGCCCGCCCCTATAGTGCCTGTGTTGTAACGGACAAACGTAGTCGCCACGCCGGGACAAGGAGCATGGAGGGTTTCTAGGTGAGGTTTAGCTTTGCCTTGTCGATTGAGTTGTTGCTTGGCGGTTGTTAGTCTTGAATTTCACTGTTGTCTGAATTTCACTGTTGTCGTTGATGCAGAAGCTTGTGATGGAACCGTCGTTCTTGGCGTTCTTCTATGTACAGGTGTTGAAGGAGGAGTGGGGTAGTGGATCCTCATACTGATGACCCTGCAATCAATCCTAAGAACGACAGACTAAATGCATGCCTGCAATGCATGCCTGCAATGCAGCAGTACTGAAAGAAGCTCATCTCGAAAGCTCCCGAAGTGTAGCGACAATCCTGCACTGTGCGGCTGATGTAGGCTTGTTGATGAACCTTTGCATTAGTCCTAAAAAGGCGCAAAGGCCAATCATGCAACCTGGAATGAGCAGGTCATGATGATGGTGATGGGGGGATGCTGCTGATTGATGATACATACCATTTTCACAAGGGCAAAAGGTAGTACTACACTAGATAATCTAGAATAGATGTCCTGGCCAGCTGTCCACTTTTTAGGTCAAACCTTGGGAGTTTATGAGGAAGGGAGTAACCAGGTATGGTGGAACATCGTTTGCTCCATGCCCAATGCAGATGCTGAAGATTGCTTGGTTTTCCATGTTGCAGATCATGCAGAGAGCGAAGATGACGTGGTTCTGGAGGTTGCTGGTCTCTCGAAGCAGCATCGGTTATTCACGATCCTTCTGAACCTTCTGCCCCGAAGTGCTCTGCAGTGCTGCATTTTCGTGGTTGGCATCAGATACCTGCTGTCAGTGAGAAATGTTTCTGACCTGATCTTGAACAGCCTCGCTCTGACCTTTCTAGTCACCGTCGATGAGATGTTGTTCGCCGCCTTTGCTGGCGAGCAGAATGCCGCGTGGATCCAGAACTGCAAGCCCCTCCGCGGAAGGTCCTTCAAATGGATGGACTGGCTCTTGCGAAAGACATCCATCCCGGTTGGGCTTTTGGTCTTTTTTCCGATTTTGGTTACCCTGTGCTACTTCGTGATCAGCAACAAGCTGTTGACCGATCAACTTGCTGGGGCAACTTACTGTTTCCCAACTCAACTTGGCAAGACTGTTGTACGGGGGTTTCTCATACAAGCTGGGTTCTTGGGGACCTCAAGGGCCCTCTTTAGGAGAACATGGGCATTATATGAAGAATCTCCGGCCGTTTCAATTCCATATCGCAATCTCGTAATCTCCTTAAACAGTTCACAATCATCTCCGCTGACAGGCTTGCAGGCTCCAAGAAATCTCGTACAAACGAACGGTGCTGCATGTGGAGCGTCAACCCCAACCCCCGATGCCTGGAGCCCCGCATCCTTGAAAACGGACAGTCCTGGGGGCCCTCAAAACGCCCTCCCCCCCCCCCCCANNCCCCCCCCCCCCCCCCGCCCCCCGGGAACCCCAGAAGATCCTTCTAGCATGCATGGAGCTTCAGGGTAATTACCGCCCAATCAGTTATTCTAGCTATAAGCCAGTTACAAATATCTTAGGGCACTTCGGGAGTTGTAGAGGGATATAAAGTACAGTGAAATGTGAAAGTGAAAGTAAGTTCTCGTTCTCTGAGTCAAGTTCTGAACCTCCAAGCAAGAGTCGCCAAGAACCAGGTTTGTGCGGCATGGAAGGCGCTGATTGCCATGCCCGGCAAATTCTCACCAAAGTTGTGAGCACGTGATTTTTTGCAGTATGGTCAAGGGATTGGGATGTAGGGTATTAGGACTTGGACCGAACTGCGCTCGGCTACGGCTTCCTTGTTTTGGTCTGGCTCGGAATTGCAGTGCCGAGCGGGTCTCATACTCAGAACAGGGTGTGCTAGCAACCATGCAGTGGCGGAGACAAGTTTTGCTGCTGAAGTTATGGATAGCTTAGGCGCCAAAGGCGTGCATCTCGTTTCACAGCCCAGGAGTCGTCATCAAGGCACAAGCAAAAGCCCATTCTGCACAACTTGTCGGGAGGCGGCAAGGAAGAGTTCCATGATCTTCCCACTACCATCAGTGCCCAAGATTGTCCATTGTCTTCGCTACTCATGGCCATTTGCCAGGACGCCTGCGTGACAATTGAGTAGCGGCCAATATTTGTGGGAAAGCATTTCTGACAGGACGGCATAGTCGATCAAGATAGGAGCCGCCGCAATCGTTGTATTGCCATGGCAGAACATGCCCCACAACCCCTATCCTGCACCTTCAATTTCCAAGTTTAGGCTTCCAGATTCTGCTTGCCCGCCCCAGGTTTGTCCCATTTGGAACGCCATGGGATTTGCATTCCTCCAAGGAGAAATGCGAATTACAGGTTCAACACCCATAACTTCAGGGCTCCAGGAACAGAATAGATACGAGCAAGGGCCGAGGTTCCGAAGCCATGCGTAGCGGATACAGACTTTTGTGGCTTGATTTACCCAGGGCACCTCCGTGCCCCAAATACCGAAAACCCCAAATACTTGAACAAGGCCCAGGTCCATAGGGCTCGAGTTGCAGGGTTTTTTCCTCGGGCACTGCGAAGCAGATCCCGATGCAGCGATGGACCCTGGCATGCTTAGTTGCCGTCTGTGCATCGGCTCGGACTTCCGAGGAGGCGATCTCTTCATAGGGCTCAGGGTTTTACAAAATAGGGTTAGCGCTGATGGCTTCAATATACTCCATGGTGGTGTGGGACTTTAATAGCACGTTGGGTAAGTGTTCTTCTACAGCAAGGCACCCAGGTTGAAGTTGTATGTGCAGATGCGTGGTGTTGGTTGTTAGTGTCCCGCCCCGAGGAGGAGCTTATTTCGGCCGTCAAGCAGGCAAATGCAGCGGAAGTTGACCGCATATTGGCTTCTGGGCGAGTTCACTTGAGCGAGATAGGTACAATCTACATGCCGGGGCCGGGGACCTCGACAACCTGGACAACCTGTTGGCTCACTGCCTGCACTCTACTGCACTATGTGGTACGGACGAATCAGGTTGATATTCTGCGGAAGCTGATTGCAGCTTGGCCCGAGGGCCTGCGCACCGCAGATGTGGAATCAAGGACACCATTGGCGTATGCTGCCGAAGAGGGGTATGTGGAAGGTCTCCAGTTGATGCTCGAGAAATGGCCTGATGCAATCGAAGCTGGACTCAGCAAGCGAGACCGCTGGGGCAGCACACCATTGCATGACGCTGCCAAGCATGGACATTTACAAGCACTTCAGTTGATGCTTAGCCTTTGGCCTGATGGTATTACTGCCACAGACGGTTTTGGCCGTACTCTGCTGATGCATGCTACTCAGAAAAACCACTTGCTTGCAGCGCGCTGGCTTGCACAGCAATGGATGCCCCCAACTGCTGTGCTGGGCTGCAATCACGTGGTGGATTATGGCTGCAACGGCACGGCAATATCCACAGCCTGGCAGGATGCAGCGGTCAACCTCCAGTGCGATGCGCGTTCTATATCGAGTTCAACGGCGCAGCTGTGGAAGGAATGCGGTGGGCACCCGCACCCACTTGCCAATCTGGACTATATCAACTGCAGCATCATTGTGGACTGGGGCTGCAACGATACGGAAATGCTTTCCGTTTGGCAGGATGCAGCCCTCGAGCTTCGGTGCGATCCAAGACCGTTGTCGAGATCGTCACTGCAGCTGTGGCTGGACTGCGGTGGCGACATACGCTGGCAGTCGCCAGCAGGACTTGGACTCATGGAGCTTCTCCAGGACAAAGATGTAAGTCAGCTTTTGCGATCACACCGGACGCGCTCCAGCATCATCGAAGCCACTTTGAGAGACTGGCGGACGTGGCTCGTCCCAGGCTCTGTGATCTTACTGGCAGTCGTGGTTGTGTTGCTGGAGCAGAAGTTGCTCCAGAGTGGACATCATTGGGCCAGCCAGTGGTCCAGTCAGCAGGCCCAGTCAGAGGATCCTGCCGAGAACCTCGCAGACCCTTTCCTTGAAGGTTCAAAACGCCTGGTTGGCCAAGCCTTCTCAAAGCAAGTGGTGCTTCTCAAACTTTGGCGCTGGTTAGAAAGTTATGTTGCAATGTTATGGTCGGGATTCATGCTGATCGTGGCCTATTGGATTTGGTGGTTGCCGCTTGTGGCTCTGTTGTATTTCGTTCCGGCTGCCAGGCTACATACGCCACATGCCCTGCTACGCACACCAGTGCTCGCAATTCCCAGCAAAGGCTTCGATGGCCGGCTGGCAGCTCTCAATCGCACCATGATCTTGTTGATCTTGGGCTTTGCAGTCTGTATATTAGCAGATTCATCATTCCCCGATGGGTGGCTCAAAGCTGCGGTTGTGAACCCAATCTTCCCTGTTTTCGTTTCTCCGAGATTTGCATCCTGGGACAGCAGCTTGTTGTCAGATCATTGGTTACTGTGGTGGGCAGGGCAGATCCAAGGCACTTTTCTGTTTCTGTTGGGTATGGCTTTCAGCTGTGGACTCCTCGGATTGTACGTTATGTGTCTGCTTTGCTCGATGTTGGCCTGGAAAATGTGTGGTAGCGCTGGAAGCCTTGATTCATCGCAAGCGCAGAAGCAGGAGGCAGTGAAGGCCTTGCTTCAGAAAGCACCAGAGCATTTCGCCCAAGTGAACCCGAGCATCAAGCCGATTGCTGCCTTCGCGTGGCCATGGCAAGGTGGTGGACTCTACCAAACAGTGGCTTTGCTAGTGGTTGATGTTGCGCTGGATGCAAACACCATCTTTGCTTTCTTGGCAGCGCAAGACTATCTTTCTGCCGCTGTCATGACCTTCGTGGTGGCACGGAGTGGCCTCAAACAGCTGATCGCACTCCCGCCATGGCGCCTTCTGGAGGCTGCGTTAGTTGGCCAGTTGATCAGATCCTGCGACCTAAGTTCATGCATGACTGTAGCGCAAGGCTCATTTATTGGAAGGGTGTTTACATGTGTTTAGTTCTCATATCCTGAGCACATGCACGTGGTCTGCAGTTCAGGTCGCATGCATCTCTTCTGCATTGTCTTGTGGCAGGTAATCAAGGCCAGCCTGGAGCGCGGCATCATGCACAAGGACCTTGTCGACTATTTGGAGGACTTGCTTCTTCCGGTATCCTGCTGTTGTCCGAGGGAATGGGATGTGTAGAGGCCGAGTGACTCGGGGATTCAAGCCGGTGAATACTCGAGACCTGAAGTTTGGAACCTCCGGGCTCTAAAAACCTCAAGACACGAAAGCCTCGTCATCTCCAGCGTCGCATTCTTGAGGAAGTTCTTTGGGATATCAAGGGCTTGAGGCTGAGTGGCTGAGCCTACATCCTCAACCTCACCCTTCAGGAGGAAAAACGCTCAGAAGCTTTCTTCTGTGCGTGCATCACAGCTTATTCCTTCTTCTTCGCTGCGCAGACGGCAGACCAAATGCTCTTGCAGTTCGGCAGTTTGCTGCTGAGCACATACATGTTTTCAGGCTTGGTCCCTGAAAGAGAAGCGTCTAGCGAGCTGAGGGTGACGTATCAGGCATGTGTACACTTGCTCGCTTATCCACGCAGGATACGTGGTTCAAGTCTGCGATCTGGACTTTGAGCTCAGCGATGGTCTCGAAATCCTGCAGCCTGCGAATCAGGTGCCGGTGGGAGCTCGAAGTGTACATCGAAACCATTGCCAGCAGCACAGAAACTGTGATTCTGAAAGATGCTTAATGGTGCATCTCTTCAGTGTGTCTGAAGTAGTCCTGCTTTTGCTCCCCTGTTCCACCCCTCCCCCTCCCTCAGATGCCAACTGCTCCTCAGCCTGGAGTCTTGGGCATTCGTGCGGACCCCACGACAGCCGAGGAGGCTGTTTGCAAGCAGTAGGTTCAGGAAGGCGCAGGAACCTAACCGAGAAAGGAATTCTACTGCCATTCTTCAGGCTGGAGATTAAGGATATGCTGGAGATGCAGTGAGGTCCAACTAAGCCAAAACGGGTTGGGCGTCGAGGACTTAGGGTCTAGGGTTCAGGGCTGGTGGAATTACATATCAGAAGATCTTGTCACTTGCAAGGGCCAGCATGCTCTGAAAGGGGGGCTGCAGGGCTCCATCCGTTCGAGGAGAGCGTGTGAATTCAGCGCTGTATAACCTCCGAGTCTTGATTTAGCTGGGGAGTCTTGATTTAGCTGGGGGTTTTGCAGTACAACATGTTTCCACTCCATACTGCCCCAGGGATCGGAATGCAACACAGCATTTTCAAGCTGCAATAGACTCCAAGCAGTACCTCCAAAGCCCCCTGAAGCGTAACTTTTCCTAAACAAGAGAAGGTGTGGGCTGTCAAAAGTGTTGGTGCCCTCACGGGCTTTCCGCAGTTCCCTGCTTCAGGCTTCGAGGGTGCCTGATGAGCCCCATGCGCCGCTCCAGGATCACATCTTGCAGGCGGACGCATGCATGAAGCTCCCTGAAGCCTTGACACCCTAAGCCCTATGGGCCCTAGACCTCCTCTAGACTTGTTTCCTGTTGAAGGTTGAAGCTTCTCCCGGCATACAGTGCCAGAGTGTGGATGGCACGACTTCAAATGTGGCAGCGGACTTGGCCGTTACCAACACCCTCGTTCCAGCATGGGGCTGCAACGAGGCTCCCCAATAATGACCCGGCTTGCTAGGGTAGTGTTTGAAGTGGCTCATCATTCGCACTCCTCTTGCAGACCTCGGTTGTCGATTTTTGTTCGAAGAGATATTGAAAGGCAGTGGTTCTAGAACGTGTCGCGAATGCTTTTTAAGATGCGCGCATCACTTGCTGCAATCGCGGTGCATTTCGATGGTCATGTAGAAGGTAATTGGTGAACAATCCTAGAAAAACCTGAGACTTAGTCATGTGAGCTATCGGCTGTGTGGGCTGGACTGTTTGAGAGCCAGTAGCCACCCGCTTTCTCCTTTGGTTTCAGGATGCAGAGATCCTCCACAAGCCAGAACATGGCAGCGGCACGATATCTGATAATGCGATTGACGTGAGCATCGCGGACGGGTCAATGCCGCCCTTGCCACCGATGCCGGCATGGGACTTGCACGCAGCACGAACAGGTGTTAGCCCAGCAGCAGGGCCCTCCGCTACGTCATTGCCTTCTCTTGAAGGCATAGTTCCTGCTCCAACATTGACAGGTGCCTGGGCATCATAGTTACAGCCATTAATTACGGCTGTCTCAGAATTGAATACACAAAGCCCAACCTTCCCCCACCTGAAGCCCGACTCTTAACCCCACGAGCCCTACAACAACTGAGCAGGGCTCTAAGCCTGAAGCCCTTCCAGAATCTTGCCAGCGGCAATTAACATACATGAGCTACTGTCTGCTGTATAGGCTGAATGGCATAAACCTCAAAAACGCAGCTAAGGAAAGAACAGGCCGAACAAGGCACGCTTGCAGAAGAAGCGTTCGCAGAGCTCCCGGAAACCGGGGCTCTCCAAGGACGCTGAGCCCTGACAGGCAAGCTCAGGAACCAAGGATTTCGAGGAGGACCCCACAAAATCCAGAACAATAGTTTGGAAAAGTGCCATCACAGGATTGCTCTCAGGACCATGTATTCGCCATATGGCCTCCCGAAGAAATAGAACGCCTTGATTCAGCGACCAGCACGTAACAGACCTGCAACAGTTATGGTGAACACATAGCGCAGCAACGCCAACTTCATATTGAAAGATTGACAATCTTGTGGCCTCTAGGAAATTGTATGCGGGCAGAGCCTGATGCAATCTTCCCAGAGAGGAAAGAATATGAAAGGAGAAAGAACCATGCCATCCAAACTTTGAAGGCTGCAGGGAAAAAAACGTCATTTCCCGCATGCAGGGCACTTGAGCAGTCAAAAATGTAGATGGGAAAGGAAATTACTTAGATACGGAAGTCACTTCAGAAATTGGCCGGCAACAACTTCTGCGCAAAGCTCCTCGCTTGCGGAAATTCTTGCGGAATTGTTGTTTTCTTTGATTAGAACGCACTAAAGACTAGAAATCCCTTTCGCAGAATCGCAGCGGAAATAGCTTGGACCAAATTTATGCGGAAGAGATTACGGAAAACATGATATTACAAAAAATGTCGATTTTCTTTGGAGAGAATTTCCGAAAGGACCGCGGAAATTTGCAAACGGAAATTCATATCAATTAGATTTAGATAATCCATTTTCTGAATGATATAGCTGAAATATAAATATGATAGAGATTTATAATATATATATATATATTCAACGTATTCTTAGTCATTCGTATGAAGATTGAATTTTTAGATGAATATCATTTTTTCTTATAGATTAGATTTCTTGGAAAATTTGAAATGATTAATTTTAGAATTCTGGATTCATTTTCTTATTATGTAAATATTTTTTGAGATTTAGGATTTAGAATTTTATGATAATTCGATTTTTATGATATATATAAGAATTATTTTTTTTGATTATATATCTTGATATTTATTCATTGCTCTCTATATTTCTCTATTGATCTGAATTTGATATTTATATATTATATTTATATTCTTTTTATTAATTATGTATAATTAGGTATAATAATATTATATAGATGATGAAAATATGATATGAAGATTCTGATTCGTAGATTTAATTTTCATTTATATTATATATATATCTAGAAATTAGATTTGAAAGAGAAATTATATGTAATTAATTATAGAAAGGTAATAGGATATGGATTCAAGATTATTGCACGCCATTATTAATTTTTCTAATTTATGGAAAGAATAATCTATTTAATTCTTAAATTATTTATTTTATAGATATATTTTGATATATATAATTTATGAAATGAAGTAAATATTGATTAGGTTGATGATAAAAGAAATTTTATATTATTTTAGGGGTTGCGCTTGGGAGCGGGCAAATAGCGTATTTTCTTGAATTCCTTCTTTAAATATGCAAAATTACGATATCTGGTCCAAACCCAGCTTCTCGGGCCCAGATTCTGGATTTGGGTTAGATGAGGTCATTTTTTATTATTTTGGAGGAGTTTACGCCAAATGAGGTCTCATTTGGCCTAAATTCATGATTCTAGGCCTAGAACCATGGGTTTGGGCTTCTTGCGGTAATTTTTAGTTTGACATCTCTTGGCGCCAATCAAAAGCCATCATAAAGCCCACGAAAAAAAATCAAAATAGCTGTAACCTGATATATCCAAATTGGAGAAACGGAACCCCAACGATGCTCCAAAAAATGGTGCTCGGGCCCAGTTGGGTCTCGGAGGTTAATTTTCAAAACGGTCTGCGCTCCTGATTATATTTTGAGGGGTCTGGGGGACTCCAAAAATGCTTCAAAAATCCCTCCGTGTCGCTGGGATTCGCTTCCAAAATCCATGCCAATTTTGGAGTGATCTTGGAAGGGGGTCCGGGAGGGCCCCTTGGAGAAATGGAGGTCCAAAGATGCAGGGCCGGCGGCATTGGCATCCGCCCTATGGCAAAGCCAGGGCTATGGCTTGCGGCGGCATTCCGAGGGCGTTGCCCGATTTTATGATCTTAGAATATTAGATTTTTAGATAATAAAGGAACCCTAGGAGGAATAAGGTTTCATCTATTAATAATATGAAATTAATTCATTTATGATATGAAATTATTGATATTTGGAGCGAGATTTTTATATAAGATTCAGGAATTGATTATAATATATTCTATTTATTTAGCTCATCATTCTGGAGAGATTCTCTTTTTGATTAGAGGACGTAGCTATGATTTTTATAGCAATATCATCGTTCGAGATTTCTAGGATTCTTCGAATATAAGATAGAGATTCTATATCTTCTGAGATTTTGGGTCTGGAGAAGCGTATAATTGATATCTTCTATGATTTATCTAAATCAAATAAAAAAGAAGAAATCTCGTTATTCAAGATTTTAAAGAAATCTAATTAGATATCTTCATATTCGTTTGAGGGAAAAAGAAGGATAATAAGATTCGGCGTCCGTTTTCCAATTATGAAATCCCGCCGTCGCCCGCCAAGAATTAGACAAGAAAGAAGACGCCGAAAGAAGGAAAAATAATAACGCAACAGCGGGCCCTCAAATAAAATGAAGAAATAATGAGAAAATCTCCAAATCATCTATTCGCTTAAGGTCTCGTCTCCTCAGATTCAGAATCATTATATCTTGTGCGTGGGATCTTGATATCAATTTCTATGATCATATTCTTTCAGAATATATTTGCAGGAATTGAATAGAACGATCATGGATTTTGGGCGGATTCTGGCATTTGTCTCTGCCTCGTTATAAATATGCGTGCCCATATTTCTGAATTACGAAGGAAATCCATTATTTCAATATCTGATCGGAAGATCCAATATTTCGATCTAAATTATCATCGATAATTCGGCAAAACGAAGGAAGAAGACGATCTCTTTCCGCTTCCAGATCTCCAGAATCTTCAAAGATCAATGATTCAAATCCTATGTCCTGGGAATGACGTCTTTAGGTTATCTCACGATCTCTAGATTTATATTCCATTTGAGATTTAATAGTCGATAAAATTTCGCATAATTAAATTTTTCGGAGATTATTGATTGTATTTTCCTCGTCTCATCGATCTCCTCCGTTTCATTTATCTCTCTTTGATTCTTTGGGATGGGATTCGTGGTTGGAAATATGGATCGCGTTCCCCGTTCGTTTGGATCTCTTAAATTCTATAGATAGGCACGACCGATTTAAATATATGAAGATTTTGGACCTCTATCCGGGATAGATTTCTGATGAATATTCTGCGATTCGGAATGATGATCGCATAATCTATATATCGATCTATCAATATCTCCATATTTCGTTTCTATAATTCTGATGATCTATCGATCTGAGAATCTCATTATCTATCGATATACGAGATTAGATCTATCGATTTCTCGATCTGATCATCTATCTTCTATCAAATCTATTCTATCAATCTAATATTCTCTGAAATCTATCTATTAATCCGTCTATTCGTCGATTGTTCAATCTATCAATCTATCTATCTATATTCATATTCTCTCGTATTTATCATTCTCTCTATCTATCAATTTGATTATACGACCTTTTGAAGACTTGATAATTTATCTATCGTCGAATTTATCGATCTCATATTTGGAGATTATAATATAGATATCGCCCTATCAAATCTAATGGATTATCATTCTTTGATAGTATCGTCCTCATTATTTATTGAATCTATTGATCGATCGAAATGTTTGTCGATCTTCTCATATTGATATAAATGATGATTTAATTCCAAGACCTCTATAATAAGATATAGATAAGAATATTTTGCGGCGCATGATCTTTCGGATGATATCTATTTCATTCTCAGATCTTGGTCCCTTGAGGGATTTAGACCGACTAAGCTCGAAATTTCTAATATGATTTTCGGATGATTTTCATTAAGAAAATCTGGAATTTCGGGGACTCGCGAAATCGAAAATTCGTTGAATTTTTGAGACTTGCTGGATCCTCAATATCTATCATTTTGATTTAGAATTTATGCTATCAAGATCTCCATGATCAAGCAAGGCAATTTATCTGTCTATCTATCTCTCTATCTATCTTTTTATCGATCTCTAGCTCTTTATCTATCTCTTTATTTTCAAATTTTGTCTATCTTTATTTATCTCTATCTCTTTATCTCTCTATTATTTATTATCAGATTGATTGTTTTTATCTTTCTATCTATCTTTATCTATCTCTAAGTATTCATCTTTCTATCTATCTGTCTATTTTCTATTTATGCTATGTTTTTTTGAAATATCTATCTATTTCTCGGATTCTATCTAATTATCCCTCTGTCTATTCAAATATCAATTTTTATCTATATCTATCTATCTATATATCTCTTCATTTATCTATTTCGATCTATCTATTTATTTTTCTATATGATAATTCTTTATTTATATTTCTATCTAATTCGATCTCTCTATCTTTCTAGAGATTCTATATTGGGATTAGATATGATATTTTTTCTAAAGTTAATTCGTTCTGTATCTATCTATCATATATATTTATCTATTTATGCGCATATCTATCTAATTATCTATCTGCCTGCTTGCTTGCTTATCTATTTTTTACTTGCATGTCTATCTGCTTGACTGCATAGCTGCATATGGAGCCTGTCCAATATTCCTTCATCTCGAATTCGCGGCTTGCGCCGTGCTTGCGCGGAGTTTACGCGAGCTTGCGCGCGCAGAATTTAGCTCCCAATGATTTTCGTACAGGCTCATCCCACTAAAATAAATATCATGAGAGCGTTTTCGAACCCTTGCGCCAACCTTGCGCCAACCTTGCGCCGTGCTTGCGCGGAGCTTGCGCGCGCAGGATTTTTGTCAAATTATTTATACTTTGTTTTCGTAGATTCAAAATTTTTAGACAAAGATTTTCGGACAACCCTCATATGGGCTTATCCGTTCGTCCGCTTATCTGCTTGCCTGTCTATCTGCCTGCTTGACTATCTATCTCTATCTTTGACTCTAT